ATATTGGATATTCTAATTTATTCTTATTAATGTTTTCAATACTGGATATTCTAACTTACTTTTATTAACGTTTTGAATATTGGATATTCTAATTTATTTTTACTATTGTTCTGACTACTGGATGTTCTAAATTATTTTTACTAATGTTCTCACCACTGGATGTTCTATTTTATTTTTACTAACGTTCTGACTACTGGATATTCTAATTTATTTTTACTATTGTTCTGACTACTGGATGTTCTAAATTATTTTTACTAATGTTCTCACCACTGGATGTTCTATTTTATTTTTACTAACGTTCTGACTACTGGATATTCTAATTTATTCTTACTAGTTTTCTAACTGACTATCGTGAGTGCCTTATTTTATGTTTCTGACTATTGTATTGTTTCTTACTAACATTCCAAATACTGGGTATCATGGCTGCTCTTTACTAGCTTTCTGAATATTGGATGTAAAAACTATTAATCATTAGTCTTTTAAGTACTGAATATGCATATGACTGTACACAAACTGTGATAAGCTTCTGTATACTTATAATCACTGATTGTAACTGGCCGGAAAAGATGGAAGTGACGTAGTACGTAAGAAACATCCAAATTGTTAAAACCACTCCACTACACACTGACTGAAATCTAACGTAGTGAGATAGTCATCAGACGGATCATAGCATCAACTGCTAATCCTCCTTTGATCCTGAATAGTCTGTTTATATATTCTTTTTGTTTTTCGGTGTGGTGAAAGCTTTACAACAGCTGCGTACGAGAGTATCGAAGGTGATCGACCAGTAAGAACGCATGTAACTGATGTTTCCAAACGTCTGTCTCACGACAGCTGCTCTCGGTACCATTATCATCTGAGCTAGCTACCTGCGGAGGTAACTTCGACATAGACAACAACGATGAAAACGTCGCTGCTCTTCAGGGGTGTAAGAGGGTAACACAAACGAAAACTGTGTTGTTATTTTCAAAACATGGCCATCGTTAATTCTTGTTGCTGTGGTCAGTCGTTGAGGGTCGGATGTTTCGCTGCAGGAATTTATAGCTTGGTAAGTAAACCGTTAATTGCTAGCCTATTTTTTTTTTCAATAAATGATTACCTCGTAGATAAAAAAAACAACTAAAATATTGATGGAACAGCTCGACAGAGCCGAACTGTTATCTAAAGAAACTAGAAACCTCATGTTAATTGGCAAGTAGTATACAGTGAATGAAATTTTGTGACATGTCAAATTATGCAGGCAGCGTATACTCACACAATCGAAACTATGAACCAAGTTTGTCGTCTATAATATAACCAACAGTTAAAAGTTATTGTCCTCTAATAGTAACTGGACGTAATTTTTTCCACCCGCAGAACAAACCAAAAACAGAGCGGTATTCTCTTTCCATAAGTTACAGCATTTAGCCCTGCTAGCAACTTTAATCTGTAAACGTTTAAACATACATTGTGAAAAGTAGTATTAACCCATAAGTTCTGATACACTGGTTGTCTTTATGTAATTTACTTAGTATTCAAACTATAAGTTCTGATACACTGTTTGTTTTTATGTAATTTACTTAGTATTAAAATCGTAAGTTCTGATACATCGTTTGTTTTTATGTAATTTACTTAGTATTAAAATCGTAAGTTCTGATACACTGTTTTGTTTTTATGTAATTTACTTAGTATTGAAATCGTAAGTTCTGATACATCGTTTGTTTTTATGTAATTTACTTAGTATTAAAGCCATATGTTCTGATAAATTGTTTGTTTTTATGTAATTTACTCGGAGACTATCGTATTTCACACGAATCCTGAAGAGAAGGGTAATTTTGAAGTTTTTTCAGCTTCGTTTAGTTGCTAATACTGCGATATTTTGGAGGTGCAAAAACATAGATAAAAATGTACACTTCTCGTTTCTATCCGGTTACATCAAATATTTTGACACAAATCAAAACCAGCGGTGTTTGCGAACTCGCCCTCAAACCGCTCGTTTATTAAATATATACAAAAAGTTACCACAAATAGATCAGTTTCTTTTTATGAGTAGTAAAAAAAAAAAAAAATGTCTGTGTAGAAGACACCAGTTTCGCGTTATTACGTTAAAAATATCATTTCCTGGTGGTTTTTATCGGTATAATAATCAAACACATACTTTGCCTTGCATGTTTAAAAACGTCCCACTGGAGTAACCAATATATCATGAGCTGCTGTACTAATGTAAAGTTTGCTTTCTACGTGCCTGTTCTAAAACGTATATATTTAAGCATATGTAATGTTTCGTAATTGGGGACGCACAGCAGACGCTTGGCTAACTTTCTCTTAAGATAACTGAAACAAATCCCGCACCTCTTTCTTATACATGAATTTACACATTACATACGGTGAAAAATTGCCATTACAGATGAATGTAATATTATCCCTATTTACTTGGTATAAAAACACTTCCTATGAAATACTGGTTTTTTGAGATATTAACTGACTCTACTTATATGTGTTCTTTCTGGAACAATTAAATATAATACAGTTTTAGAACGTATACTCTCTGTTAGTTTTTGTTTTGTTTCAATCGCGTTATATATTTTAACAAGGTCGAATGTGACCTATGGTTAATGTCTGCAGCTCCGAAGATCCAAGATTTAGGCCACGATGTGACGTTGACAACGCTCTGCACTTGCAGTTATAGGGGTATTATAGCCGTGACAGTCAAATCTCGCTATTTGGTTAAGAGTACTCATGTAGGCGAATACTTCATATTTTTATGAAAACAAATACAAGAAAATTGCTAATTATTCGAATACGGATACATGAGAATGTATTCATGAATATACTTTGTCAGGTAATTTGCAATAATGATAAAACAGCAGACGATAAGATTTCAATACTCTTATGAAACAAACTTTTAAGAAATTGAAACAAACAAAATTTGAACAAATAATAACATTTCAATACTTGTATTTTTCAAAATGCAATAACAAAGTTTTAGAACAAAAATATATTTTTAAATAGATATTATAACTGTCCATTGTTCTTTATGAACACCAGTATCTCAAATAGTTTGTCAGTGAGGCGGCAGCGATCAGGTTTGAGAGTTTTGCCTCCGATGCTAAACAAACGCTCAACTGGAGCAGAATATCCTGGAACACCCAGGTAGCATTTGGCTAGTAAAGATAGGGTAGGAAAGTTTTTTTCTTGAATCTTCCAATAATCTAGAGGGTTGCTTTCTTCGGGAATATAAGAACCATGGAGGTAGGTGTTGATCTCTGTATCATCTGAAGATGAGGTGGCTGGTTTCTTGGAGGCAACAAAGAAACTAAAGACCTTACTTGTTTTACGAAGGGGGAGGGGGGTTTACAGTCCTCTTTTGGTTCCATGGCTGTAGGATTATTTGTTGAGGAAACTTTCTTGACTTCTTGCTGCAAAAGCAATCGATTGTATTCATAGACCAGTTTAAATCTGGGATCCAGTGTCGCAGCCTAGAAGATGACACTTTGTTACTCATACCTATCACCATCTTTCACACTAGGTAGTTTTTGCGGTTCATATCCAGGCAAGCAGAAAGCCTTGATCATATTAGATGCATTATCAGATGTCACATATGACACCTTGTTGTTGATGTTAAAGAGATTTATCATTTTATCATATTGAAATGCAATATTATCAGATGTGCCAGCATGACTCTTTGCATTTTCCAGTCAAGTATAAAATGACCAGTAAATCCAGGAAAGCTGCGCATTTGTCTGCTATTCCAGTTACCTACAGTGACAATAATGTTGGGTACAAGCTGCAGTAGAGAGGTGACTTTTTGTTGGACTTCATCAAAGGTTCTCGATCAACATTGTGGACAGATACCTGTGAACTGGTAATAATATACCGATAATCCAAGGCTGCCATTAGATCTTGAAAATCTTTTGGTTCCACCACTGAGAGGGGTTGCAGTGTACCGGCAATAAAATTGATGAGTTTGTTAGTGATGTGCTTCTGACGAGAGTGTGTAGAGTTATATTTAGTTAATTATTGTACGCTGCTGCACCTGGGCGGAAGTACCAGAGCCAGATGTAGACTTCTGTAGCTCTGCTTCATGACTACCTAGAAATACAAAAGTGTACCTCAGTTATATAATATAGAATACAGTTTGTAATAATAAAAATATATCATAATATAATAAATATCTTAGTTATATAATATAGATTATAATGAAAATAATAAAAACATATAATACTATATAAATGATAATAATAAAAACATATAATACTATATAAATGATAATAATACAAACATATAATACTATACAAATGAAAATAATACAAACATAATAATACATAAATGAAAGTAATAAAACATATAGTACTATGTAAATGAAAATAATAAAAAACATGTAATACTATATAAATGAAAATAATAGAAAATATAGGTTAACACACATGACAAATTTAGTTTACTTATATTATATTATATAATTTACATAGAATATAGCCCATATTAACAAAGTAATAAAAAGGCTTACCTTCAGATGTATCATCAAGTTAGAAGTGGTTCTTCCTGAAGTATAGATAAATGTGCTCAGATAAATGGTTTAATTACTAATTATTTCGCGTTTGTAGAGCATTTTCTAACAAACTAAAACTTTATTTAATTCAGTGTAATAGCTGGGTTAGCAACAAGTAGAACAAAAATCTAAAAATACTTTACAATACAATTTAAAGTAAAAAATGCCTAGTTACCAGTGAGAATCAGCTCAAACAGAATTTCAGGAATGGTGGACTATTTAACTTTTCTTATCATGTCATTCAAGTAATGAAGGATTTGTTGTACTAAAGTTTACCTATAAGAGCTCGTTCGTTTCGTTTGTTGAACTTCGCACAAAGGTACTGAAGGCCTATCTGCGCCACACGTTTCTAGTTTAGAAGTGATAGACTAGAGAGCCAGATAGTCAACACCACCGACTACTCTAATCGAATAGTGAGATTGACTGCCTTATTATAAAGCCTCCAGGGCTAAAAAGGCGAGCATGTTCGGTGATGGAACTGCCAGGCCATGCAAGTCCGTCTGTAAAAGAAAACTGAACAAATCGGTGTTTTGTTGTTGTTGTTTGATTGCAATTAGCAGTTAGCACACAGTCTTAAGCTGTTGTAGAAATTGGTACCCTTCGTGGTGGAGTGTGATTAGACAACGTTTCGATCCACTCTCGCATGCTGAAACTGCACAGAAGTGAAACGAAACGTCGTCTCATCACCAGTCCATCCAGTTGGTTCTCCATTTCAACACCAGCTTTCAACAATGTTTATGTTAAAAATAACATATGAAAATCCATAAGGTATCTAAAGTGCCGTTAAATGATATATGAGCTGCATTACACTACATAATACTTAATTTATTTTTCGGTATATGAATAGCATAAGTCTATCCTATTGATGAGACGTACTATTGACCAAGTGATTTATGGCAGACAAAATATATAATGGTTGATTAAGAGGAATATTAAGAGAAAGGTTCGCAGTTGAAAGTTATTTTCATCAATATGATATGTAATAAGCCTCCTTGTTTCTCCACCAAATAGTATTTCAAATTAATATTTGATTGTTATAGGTCTAACCCATCCAATAAGTTCCGATGTTGAACGATAAAAGCCTTCTGGGCAGTGTCATGTGGCATAATAACGGTCTAATTAAAGGGGATTTGGTAAAAACAATCTAAAGTGGCTTATATTTTAACATAATATATAAGTTAGAGCAATTCACTTCGTTAATTGCATGCATTATTAACACTCAAAATATATAAATACCTATGCCGCAGAAAAACGCAGGCCGCACTATAAGAGTGACGATCAAATCCCACAATTCGGTTAAATAAGGGTAACCCAAGAGTTGCTTGTGTGGGTGAGTTAACTATCTTTCATTTCCAAATTATAAATGGTTATGCGTAGATAGTTTTGTGTAGCTTTTCTAGAAGCTTCTGAAACAAACTTTGTAGAGTAAATGACTCGTTACACATTAAACGATATTCTACTGACCATACTGCTTATATGTGGTTCTTTATACATAAGCTTAACGATCACTGTTTGAA